CTCTCTTTGTTTTCTTCTTTTCATTTGCTTTCTCTCTATTGACATTTCTTTCTTTCTTTCTTTCTCTCTCTCTCTCTCTCTCTCTCTCTCTCTCTCTCTCTCTCTCTCTCTCTCTCCTCTCTCTCTCTCTCCCCCAGAAATTTTTATCCTTTCTCTTTCTTCTCTCCTCCTGCCAGTCCCCATATGTCATGCTGTGTAAGGCTTTCTCCATTGACCAAATGTCAAGTAATTGGTTCTTTGGTTTTATTTTAGCTTTGGTTTTTGATGCATCTTTAGAATATAACTCGATTATTCACTCAGATGCCTGAACAACTGTTAATGGTATTTTCATCAAAAAGAGAATAAGAACCAGTTTAAGGCATCTCTAACTTATTTGTCTTTCTTCCTTCCTAGTCTTGCTGTTACTACTCTATCACTTCTTTACTACAGCCATAGTACAGTGGCATGCAGGGAGCTTTCTCACTGAGCTCCTGGGCAGTGCTACCACAGGTTTTGCTGGGGTAAGCCAGCTCCGTAATGCATTATTTCAAGCTCTACCTCGCATATCTTTGCTCCTCTTCTGCTGTTATGGGCAGACTCTTGTTCTGTTTCTATTATTGTAAAGGCCATTCAAGAAGAGCAAAGGAAATGATTTTTAAAAACAATCTGGTAAAATATATAACTGCTTAAAAGACACATACACTAAGAAAATCTAACTTTCACTTCTGTTGGCTTTAAATGTATGGCTTTGATTTATGGATCAAAATTTCTCATTTATTATTTTATCTATACAGCCCTGGGCAATTTTGACAGTTAAAATTTAGTTTTATTGACCAGTGCAGCCACTGTACCCACGAGGGGACTGGTGCACACAGCCTGCCGCGCTCAAGAAACGATGATTTTTGATTCCATGACTGAGTCAGATTGGGAATCATAACCGATGTAACAATAAGTTCCAAATCTCAATGCCCAAGGCAAGAGGGTTGCTGCAAAGCACAATCAGGCTGTAAGGCGGGGACGAGGAGACCCTTGGCTGAAGTTTGCAAGCACAATTTAATGCAGCCGGGACAGGCAGCCAGTGTGTCCATCCCAGCTGTGGGGCAGTCTAAGGGGGCATTTCAGTAAGACCCAGTCTTACCAAGTAAAGGTTAATGAGCAACATGTCTAAAAAGCACAATGAATATTAGTTTCAGAGACAATGAGCTAAACAACTATTTTAATGTGAGCAAACTTACTAAGGCTATTAACCAATATTGCATTTTTCAATCAACAACAAAAGATAACTGAAGCATTTTTAGGGGAAGATCTCCCCCCTATCCCTCCATCCATTCCAACACACATGGAAACAGAAACCAGTACAGTGACTTTAGACAGTTTTAATTTAGGCCCATTTGACTACCAAATTGGCCACCTCTGCAATGTTAATTTAGTCTTTTACTCCAAATCCCCAGTGATACATAAACAAACCTCCTAAGGGTAACAAATCAATAAAATGTCTAATTTGATTAAACATGTTTTTCAGATCATCAAGACAGCTCCAACCTAAAGCAAATAGGTGAGTAAATAAAGAAGGAGACTCACTTGTGAGTATTTTCCAGGTCTTCTTTTCATCGTCATAATATTGAACCAAGTTGCTGGGGAGCCGGTCTGGTCCAGGAGGCAGCCCTCCAACCAGTAACAACATTTTCTTGTTAGAGCGAATTCTTCACCCAAAACAAAAGAGGAGATGAATAACCACGTTATTGTAGAGTCTTTTTAGTGGCAACAAAATCATAACCATCAAAAGAATGTTCCTTGCTTGCAGATTTCTATTTCATTTTTTCCTGTTTCTTCTCCCATTCATGTCTCAACAAATTTTTTTTGAACCAAGCAGAAAAATGATCAGAAGAGCCACATATCTTTATACTCGTGGAATAATAAGCTTCCCTTTATGCAATTTGTTAGAGGTTCATTCTAGAACGACCTTTTTCTTACATTATCCCTTTAAATCATCACTCTTTACAGCTGAGTACACATGAAATGCTCTGGAGTTGTACTAAGGTTAAGCATTAAAGTTGCATGTCAAAAATCGTATTAGTCAAAATCATTATTATAAGCCATTCTCCACTCAAAGAACCTTGAAAAAATTAAGGTTATGCAGAGAGTTTGCGAGCCAACTCTTTAATCACGCAGGGAACTTCAAACACCAGTTTGGTACAATTAGTAGCACAGGACTAACTCGGGTGGGCTACCCAGTTTGAACATGAATTTTTTTTGTTTGTTTAATTTCGCTTCGACTTCTGGCTCCAGCCCCTTTCCCCACCCCCAGCTCGCCCTCCCCTCCGCTCTCCCCCTGTGCACCACTGGCAGTGCAGCAGCACCAATTGGTAAAAATGAGACTGTGATGTTGTTGTGAGCCTCCCCAGAGTGGAGCCCTGCCAACGCTTGCCACTGATCCAGCGGCATGAACCTGCTCAGCTGTGCAAAGTCACTCTAATTCCCTCCCTCTGTTTTTCTACCTTCTCCCCCAGGGGGCAACCACTGAAAGGAGTGACTACCCACCCATCAAGAGCTGGCAATTCGCTGCTATTAACCGTGACTGTGATTCCCAGTCTGCCTGGCAGTTCCTGAGAACAGGCCTGCAATGTCTCATATGCAGTAAAAGCTATAAGATGCACCCTGGCCAGCACACGCGACCTGATGGATGGATGTACGATCCTTGGGAACAGTAATGGATTGAGCGCACGTGCCACTGGAGCAGGGCGAGGAGGCCCAGACCCCCACAAGGGGCCTGCTGATTTAACAGTCACTTTACATATAATTGAACTTTTCATTTACCTGAAAGGCTCAAGGTGGTGGTGGAAGAAATGGGACAACCATGATGGAAGGAAAAAGTCAACACATAGAAAAGACTTCCTCTCAAATATGACCACAACCCATAGTGTGGCTCTGAATCTGTTATTTCATATTCAACTAGTTCGAATTCAGGGATGTTTGGCAAAATAAGCCACGTGGAAAGGCAGTGTTTGTTGGTTAAGAACCTAACATTCAGAGAGTTAACTTAATACAGCTAAGGACATGTCTCTATCAAGGAAGGAATATGAGAACTCCTTTAATGAAACTCTGGTACTGTTGAATGCATTGTGTATATGCCTCAGTAGAAAAAATACCTTCTGGAGAAACGTCTGTGTTCTTGACTCACCGACAGAGGGAGCTGTACTTATAGAAGAATGACTAAGGCGATAGCAGCTCCCTACCTTATTTTTGTTGCCCTGTGGATAGAGTTGAGCAAAAAGAGAAACAAACAAATTCAACTTCTCTAAATTTAATGTACCCTTGAACTGTTTATACTGTACACATCACTAGTTGGTAAGGAAAAACAGAATAAAACAGCAAAGAATCCCATACGTTGAGGATTTCAGTAATTGGAGTGGATTTGTGAGGATTATGGAAAGTCGGAGCAGTAAGCATCTCTTTTATATTTGGAAATAATACACACATAATTCATGTGCCATATAACTTGATAAATGCATGATCACAGAACTGATATATGGTTGCTTCTTTACTGTAGCTTTTAGTCCAAATAATCACTTTGTGTGTGTAAATGAAGCCAAGATGGAAGCAAACAGTCTTTTTTAGGTTGCAGCAAGTTTTTAGGTTGCAGCTATCAGGTGTAGCCAGACCTGAGCGGCTGCAAGTCATGATGCTGTGGCTGTCCTGACACTACTTATACTTGTGCTGCCAGACTGCATGGGAGCAGATAGAATAACTTTGCCAGGATAGACAAGGACTCATGGAGGTGGTGCTTGTGATAAAATCAATATAGTTACATCTCTGCTTTAATGGATAAGCAAATATATCTCTGTAAAACACGTCTCATGAGTGACGAAAGGAGATGAATGTATGACTCGAATATGTTTGTAAGGTCATCTTGTTCATTGATAAGATCATCTTTCCTGGTCTCACCAATATCACTGGTGATTTTTCATATGAATCTGTGGATGAGCCGAGGATCTAGCCTTTGTGCTCTCTGTCCATAGCGCCAGCCATTTCCATCTGTCCTCTAAGAACTGGACTGAGACTTCCAATACATAAGCTACTGAACAGTTGGCAAATGGTAACAACTTCCACCCTTGCCAACAATGACATGATTCAAGGGCTAGCTAGCCTAGCAGCAATGTAAGACGGCAGATAGCTGAGACAACCCCCCAAACTATCCAAGTTTCCATGGGGAATGTGGTGAAGAGTTCTAAGGAAGGAAAGGAAATGTCATCTACCCTCTTTGGTTATGTATTTTTAATAAGTGGCAGAGCTTTGGTCCATTGTGTTTGGCCTTCTTTGTGAGGGAAGACACAGTCCAAATCTTTTGCATGGTTATATTTATATCATCACTTATTTAATTTGGAGTATTGCTTGGAGTATTTTGTCTGTAAATCTTGTGCTGCTCAATTTTTCAGCACAGCATCAATATTGGTTAATTATAAATGAAGCCTAAAGCTCTATGTTGGGGAGAACCACATACAAGCCAAAAATAGCAAAAGTATGTGAGAGGTTGTATGATACAGAACAAAGACCATGTAAAGTAGCAGAACACATCTGAGTGTTTTTCTCACCATTTTCTCTTTTGACTCTCAAAACAGGTCTAACTAGATATTTTACAGAAGGGTGTGAGAGTTCCCATATATAAGGGAGTATACATTTAGGCATTACATAAAGTTGTGAAACTTTCTGGATCCACATTAAAGGGATCTAATAGAGTCTATTCCACATTTCTTATTGCTAAAGAATAATACAGATGAGAAAAACTGTTGCATATTTTACTTTGATAAAAATGCAATGTCAACTTTTCAATTACTCCTAGAAAGTAATACATGTGAATAATTCGTGTGGCAAAGCTTTCAGTTTTTTACTATGTGCAATTATAATAGTGACTATGACAATAATGACAGATAATAATGAATGTGTATTGGATATCGAGCTCCTGATTATCATGCCATTTATTTGATGTGTGTGAACCTCAATTTAAAAATGCCATGAAGCAAAGATACCTTGTGAATTGGAAAAATAAAATTAAGAGAATCTAAACTAACTGTGTTCAAGGGGTTTTCAGTTATTCTTTTCAAAACAATTCCAGCAGAGTTTTACAGGTTTAATTTTAGATTACACAAAAATCTACAAATGTATCTTTATTGTGATAAATAAGCCTTTTTCATATGGCAATATGATATTTTTTTTAGAACTCTTTTATATAGGAAACCAGTTTAATAAAAATTAATATGCTCACTTGGTAGCCTTTATTGTTTTAAAAATATTCATTTCTCACTTTAGCAGCACTAGCACCAAAGTAATGTATTTAAAGGATAAGAAAGTAGAGACATTTAAGTAAATAAAAGATTTGGTGTGTCATAATTGATAATATTATTTGGATGCCTTTAAATTGAATCTCTAGATTCTTGCATCCCAAAATACAAGGTGAGGGAATTTGAAGGTCTCCTTTGTTCCATCTCAGTAATTGCCCGACATTTACCATGTGTCACATTTGGGTGTGTGGGCACATGTGTGCTCACGTGCATGCTTACTTTGGTTCAGGGGATGAATGATTGAAAGACGACCTAAAACCTTCTGGTGTAAACAAATTTTTCATCACACTCATGTTCTAAGTAGGGCAAAGTCTCATTTATTTGTATTTCAGTGATTTGAAACTGTAATAATTGGGAAATAGGCCAGATAAAGTTACCCTTCCCATGATACATGAAAAAAGTTTTTATGCAGTACACTGCAAGAAGAGTTTTACCCTCTTGAAGAAATAAACTGGTTTGCAGGCACTTTAGAGATATTTGTGCATTTAGGCAAAATTCATTTAGGGACTCTAAATGATTTTCATTTATTTATAAGAGAAGGTATTCTGCATTGTTCTAAGAATTAAGTCATGCATTTGGAAGAAAATTTTGAGACAATCTGGTTCAGTGATTTCCAGCTTTGGCAAGTTACCAAGATCATGCAAGGGAATTAAAAATTTTAGATTCTTGATGGAGATCTCAGTTCTTAACTTTCAGAAATTGTGATTCAATTGGAGGAGGCCTTAAAAATCAGTCTATTCCACAACCTTCAAGATAATTCTAACACATAGCCAGACTTTGGACCATTGACTTGGTCCCGACATCCTGCAGAAATCCTTTTAATGTTTTTATTAAGTAATAATTCTTACCTATTTAGAAGTATGTAACAGTGGATCTTAGCTTTCTAAATCTGTTCTTTTGTTGAAGGTTGTTGGATAGTTTTGTTAGATATATATTTTTCTCCATATCCTGACTTGTATAACTTACGTCTTCTAGAGAAAAGCCTACATAGCAGTGGTGGCGAACCTATGGCATATATGTTATTCTGTTTTTCTTTTAAGACAAAAGATGTTAAAGTATGAGTTGCTTTTTCTAAACTGAAACCTCAGTATTTGAGTTTAATTGCAGTGCTGGCACTTTGGGATAAATAAATGAGTTTGGGTTGTAGTTTGGGCACTCAGTCTCTAGAAGGCTCGTGATTGCTGCTCTGTAGCATGGAGAAATTCAAATACTGGAGATAGTTGCCAGGTGCCTTCTCTTCTCCGTGGTGAACATCCCTATTTCTTTTTGAAAAGGCTTCTGCTTTCTTTACCATCCCGGTTACTTCCTTTGAGTATATTCTAAAGTCTAGACTATCAAGGTTCCTTTTGTAATGTGCAGGGCAG